TATAAATATAACGTACATGCCTCTTCTACTAGCTCGCAATTGCCCCCGCTTAACAAGTTCAGCTACAGAACCATGCTGCGTCTGAATCTTCCTTTTAGACAAAATTTGACATGCAACCATCAGCACAACTGTTAATGTCATATAAAAACCCACAGCATATTTCGATTGAGCATTTTTCACCTGAAAAGAAAGCATGTGTAGGAGTGCAGAAAGGGATGAGCATAGAAACTGGTTGCATGAAGTAGGAAAAAAACATTGATCCGACATAATAAAATCACATAGATTACTAAAATCAAGTAAAGAATAACAGACGATATATCGTTCACTCCCAAGAGAAATATTATGCATTTGACAGCAACCTGAGAAAAATAATTCCATTGAATTAGGTGACAATCTCGAGTAAAAATATGTGAAATAATATTAGCCCGCATCCACAAGTTTGTATTGACAAATATGTACAAAAACTCTTTTTGATAGTTACCAACTGATGGGGTACACCGGTCACTTTTTTTAAAGGGACAGTGCTTTTTTCCTTTTACATAAAAATGCAATGCATTTTAAAAAGAAATTTTGGAAAAAAGATTAAACCCTTGGTTGAACGGGCGATTTGCAAACAAACAAGTTCCTCATTTTCAAAGTAGTAAGACGATTGCACTCAAATTTCCAATTTGAATGGTGATTCAGTGCAAGCAATTGACCATTGATGGTTCACCAGATTTAATTGAAATAGCTACATAAGGCTACCTCTCTTAACTCACTTTACGCTCAAATTCAATTTAGATTTCTTCCACATCCCTCAAATACTTCTCTCATCTTTAGATCTCACGTCTCTTCTCTCTTCTTTAGGCTCTAGTATATTTCTTTCATCTTTTCAACCTGCCTATTTCAAATTGCCTAATATTTTTTGGTCGTTGTTCATCTGCTCAAATAGAATCATTCCGTATGTTACCCGGTCTTCAATATATTATATTCATTTATTATTGTGGCATTTCTTTGGTTTCACCATTTTTATGTATTCATTAGTTTTAAAATTGGTTTGAATAAAATTTTTTTAATCATTAGCACAGTATTATTCTAATATTAGTATATCCTACAAAATTATTATTATTATCATCATCTTATTATGTTATTCAATAGAAATTATTAATATGTTAGTAGTTCTTTTCTAGAAATTATTAATATGCTAGTAGTTCTTTTCGTATATATTATTACTACTTTTATACTAAAATTACTAGTAATATAACTTTTTAAAGAATATTATGATAATAGTAATTGTTATTAGCATAGTAGTATTAGTGTTATCGACACTAATATTATTCTACCACTAATTAATTTTATAATTTGTGTTAAAATACTTGTGAATGTTTTAGTTATTGCATGTTACCAATAATTTTTATTCAATTTAATAGTATTATAGTTAATATTGTAGAAATAAATATCCAAGAATATTATGATAATAGTAATTGTTATTAGCATAGTAGTATTAGTGTTATCGGCACTAATATTATTCTACCACTAATTAATTTATTAATATGCATGTTACCAATAATTAAGTGAGCATTATAATATTGTTAGCTTTTTTTTTTTTTGTAATTATAAAGTGAGCATTATAATATTGTTAGTTTATTGTAACACTATTTTTATAAAGATTCATATTGGAATAAATTTTAATAGCAATTATAATAACATAATAATTATTAGGGACATTTACATACATCACAATTATCATATGTTTGCATATCTAATACCTACACATTAATATTTACAAACATATCACTCAAATCTTTGACATCACAGCAAAAATAAGACTAGCACTATATTTTAAATTGTAATACACCTTCCCATGCATGAATTTATGACACCTGTTATAACTTAACTATCAAACTTTGGGTGTTGGATATGTAAATACATGAGAATAGTTTGGTATGTATATAAATTTCTCTAAATATTATTGTTCACTATTTTAATCACTAATCAACAAAATGTTATCCTTATAGTTCTTAATAAATAATTAATTATGAACTATTTATGGCAATAGCAAACATTAAAATGAGTAGAGATCAAGTGAGATTAGATCGGCATTTGAATGAAATGAGATTTTTTACCTACCAACATAGGAGGAATTTAAATGTGGATTTAATGTTCAATAAGGTCAAGTTTACGTGAAGTCAAAAGGAAATAGCTAAAACCAAAAGTTCTGATTAATCTCGCTATACTCTAAATTTTATCAGCAAATTAGCCACTAAAAATTCACATCTTGCGTTTCAAGACAAAGGTCAAGACACATGCGATGTAGTTTTATGTTCGGCTACTTACATCCTATGACTTTCTATGTCAAACAATGGGCCCAATTTGGCCATTCAGAAAGCCATAAGGGAGGTTCATAATTTCCACAAACATAATAATATAAGTAATACAATAGATGTATAACAATCAATGGCCGACATTCAAATTAACGCTTTGCCCAACCAACTAAATATCCTATTCACATGTTTCGATAAAGTCAGCCAGAGCAGACACCATGAAACATTTGCAGATAATGCCTCTTATTTTGTATTGGAATACCACAGGTAGCCTAATCCAGTTAATTAGGAATCATTATACATGGAGGAATTGATAACTTTATTCACAACACCAAATAATAACATAAATAAATATAATAGAAGATAATGATTGCGCAATCACTAATGTATAATTTGGTGTAAGGTTCGAGTGGAGCTCAGGAAGCGAAGCTAGGTGGCAACATAAGAAGTTTTTCTATTCGGTTCGAGAGCAGGAAATTTCAAAGAAAGTTGATTTTGCTGTTTCAGAAAACTGGGAAGCACTGTTTCGAATTTACAAAAGGAAGGTAGCTGCGCTGTCCCCAGGCGGAGAAGGAAATCCGCGGGAGATTTATGTTGATTAAGAAAAGCTTCTATTTGCATTTTTTAAAAGCTTCACGTAGAAGGGAAGGAATTTTAGATGAAATATTCCTTTTCTTCTTCAGCTTACGTGGAGAAAAAGACGGCTTTAAAAGAAACTTTTGGTTCTGGGAAAGCTTTCATAAAAAACAGAAAGTTTTGAAAAAGAAACAGTAGTTTTGGGAAAGCAAAATTTTGAGAAAAAAAAAATTTCGGATTAGAAAAAAGAAAAAAGAAAAAAAAATTTAGGAAATCTTTTTTTGTTGTTTGCCTATTTTTTTCCCAGGTATTTCGGTAGAGGACTATTTTGAGAAAAGAGAATCCAAAAGTGGCAGAAATAATTGATAGCACGATGTCAGGTTTTCCAACATTCACTATGGCAATGGAAAAGTCAATGCATCAGGTGATTACTGGCATGCTAAAACTTATAAGAACGTAAGTAGACCGTCACACAAGTGCACGTGTCAAGTAGTAATACGATTCAAGTGTATCACGTATCGATCCCACAGGGAAAGTATAATATTTGTTTCCACAGAAAATGCTCAAGTTTACTAATTCAGTTAACCTAGCTTGGCGATTATCACAAGATTTTTAAGTCCTAAGGTCCTAGCAAAAAAGAATACTTGATAGTAAAAGAAAGCAGAAAACATAATGGCAAAATTCGTGAGTTCCTTCAAAATAAATGAGGCTCATGCCTCTATAATTCGGGGATGGTGTTGATCGTGGTTTTCCTAGTTTTCCTACGTGATTGTTGTCAATCGAGCACAATGTACTCCTTATGCCAATGTTTAGGTTAAAAGAAGCCTATAATCCATGAAGTTAAGGCTTTCTCAATCCCCAATTCCCCATGGCATTCCGCATGACTTTCTCAATCCTCTAAGATGATTGTAAAATTCCACTGGAATGTCTATCCTCTCAGAATTATGTGGTTAACCTTTCGTTTCCACTACGCAACGGTTAAAGGTCGTACTTTCACGAAACATTTTAACTTTCTAGTTGGTCAGACTAGGAGTAAATGAAGATCGGAGATTAACCAACAATATAGGCCATGGAAAGCTCGAGAAAACAATTAACAGAAAAACATTACGGAAAACCAACGATAGATCCACTACTCCTTACATCATAGAGACATGAAGAAAATTTTAGTCACTCATTGCGGAGAAAACCATAGAGGAAAACACCATAGGAAATTCCATTACAAGCAACATAGATATGAAAAACAAACAAGAAATTGTTTCCCCAGCAAAGCCAACAACTTTCCCTCTCATATTAAAAACTCTTTCACCCCAAGGATGAAGAAAGCCCTCAAGAGATCTTTCAAATCATTTCCCAAACTCTCTTCTTTCAGCCTCCAAGCCTTCTCCTCCAGAATTCTTTTCCCCCAAGCCTCCAAGAGGTCAAGAACAATTTCTCATGACAAAAGCAATTTTATAGGTTGGTTTACATTAGGGATCCAAAATAGGCATCCAAATTCTCCAAATTCGTCAATAAGTCCAAAATCAGCAAGAAATCTCGCAAAATACGAGTCTGGATGTCCGGCAGCGTGGTCACGCCAAACCCCGACGTGTTAACGCCTGATACTGGCGTGGTTACGCCCAGACATTAGACAACACTGCCGCGTTTTGACCCTTTTTGTATGTTTGACACCTATAACATGCACAACATCAAGAAAAACCTTTCTCAGGTGTATATCTATGATAAAAAATTGAAAATAACACGTAAAATGTAGGGA